GAACGCCGCTAATTTCCTGCGTACACGGCTTTCCTACACCGAGAGGGAGGGGGGAGCCAGGGCAAAGTTTGTAGCGCCATCTCTCAGGCTCCTTGAAAAGCAGAACATCATCGGGCAGCGGATAGTCCCGGCGTTCGCTCGCCTAAAGTATTCTTGCCCCGTGCACCACAGCAATATCCAAAAGTCAGCTTCGCCGCAACGCTCTAGTGTTAAAGGGAGAAGCAGACCGAAAAACGTAAGGCGCCACTATTACAGCACAGTGCGTCGGCGATGTACCGATAATAAGCACCGGAATTGCACATAGATGAAATTGCGGCAACGCAGGAAACCCCCCAGTATAACTTAATAGTGGCATTTCTTCACGATAAGCACCTTCAGTGAAGTGACCGGTAGTGCATGTTTTCTGGCTCAGTTGTAAGGACACTACATACTTTCAATAAGCAAAAAGACAAAAGTGCCGTGCCGCAGTTCACGCTGCCTCTTTGTGCAACACCGCTTTACTAACGAAAGTAGATCATCAGCGCCGCGTTCGTGTACTGTCAGAAACGGAGTAGGCATCAAGCACTTTTATGACAAAAGCGACAGTATGGTACAGCAAGCGCCCCGGTAATAACTATGCCAACCAAGTTAGTGATGCGCTGCACACAATTAGAAACGACCGGCTTCACCCGGCAGGAAATGCTGCCTGCCCGTGAATATTCTGCATCGTTAACTGGCACACACGCATAAGCGAAGTTCTAACACTTCGAATGAGTCATCGCTTCCAAACGCTCCATGCACGACAGCCATAATTTAATTTGTGCTTTCCTGGTATGGGCAGCATTTATCACAAGAGCAAATTTACAACTGGCTGTTGGCATGTGGTTTGCGGCAAGTCCCAAATGGATTTACAAGAGCCTGGCCATCATGCACCACAATGTTTTACAAGTCTACTGGGAGGCACTTAAACTATTTTAGCTGTGGCTGTGGTGATCTGACTGCTTGAGCGGTATAAAAACAGCACGGCTTCATCTTTTGGGATCTTGAAGACTACTTTTCTCATGATTAGTTTTTGAAAATTTTTAAAACTTGTGTATCTTTTCTAGAAACTTCTCTGACTGATCGTGCTCAAAATTTTTCAAATTATACCTTAATCCCTTTCAAAGAGACTGAACATAAAACCTTTAAAAATCTGCAAGCCACAAATTTAAAAAAAAAATCAATTGGAAAGTCAATATGATAACACATGACAAATGAGGGCAATATTTTTTTTCTTAGCAGGGTAAATGCGCAAGCCCCTGGTTTTAGTTAGAGACTAATGCCACTAACATATGAAATTAGAATGCAAGACTTCACAGACATACTGTTATTTGTTTATGAGAAACAGTAGACCATTATACACCAACGGTCTTAAAAAGTTTGTACTCTGGTACAAAAAAAGTAAAAAAAGCTACAGGGTAGAGAGAGAGAGAAATAAATAAAAGGAAGAGACAGGGAGGTTAACCTAGACGAACTGGTTTGCTACCCTGTACAGGGGTGGGGAAAAGGCTCGGAAAGTAGATATAGAGAGATATAAAATAAATTTAAAAAAGACCACATGCACACACATTCATGGAGTTCAGGTCACAGTCGTTTGGACAGGCCAGTTGAACGCAAGAAGCGCAGGAGCACCTTCACAGCCTTCTTCTGCAACATAAAGTCCTGTCGGCAGTGTAGGATTCTTTCTTCCGAAAGAGGCTGGTTGTCCAGTTCATCTAGTGCCTTGCAGAGTGACTGTCTCTGCGAGCAGTATTGTGGGCATTCACACAGAATGTACCAAGTCGTTTCATCACTGCCACAATGGTCGCATGCAGCACTGTCAGCTATTCCTATGCGGAACGCGTACGCATTGGTAAATGCGACGCCCAACCATAATCTGCACAGCATAGTAGCGTCTCGTCGGCGTAATTACGGAGGAATTCGAAGACTGAGAGTTGGGTCTAAAGTACCTAACCGTGCATGGATGAAATGCGACTCGTTCCATTGTGACGTGGTGCGCTTGCAAGCAAGCATGCGGAGTTTCCGTGCAGCGTCAGTTCTGGAAAACGGAATCGATATTTCATCGCTTTCAGTATGGGCAGAACGGGCAGCTCGATTGGCCCGTTCATTGCCATTTATTCCACAATGACTTGGAAGCCACTGAAAGGCTATTTCATGACCTTTCTCAATGAATTGGTGAGTCTTTTCTGCAATCTCAAATACGAGCTGTTCGTATGGGCCGTGGCGTAAAGGTGATAGAAGGGATTGCAGTGCCGCCTTTGAGTCACTGAAAATTGTCCATTTTTGTGGCTTTTGATCGCTGATGAATCGCAATGCGGCACGAAGAGCTGTGAGCTCTGCTTCCGTTGATGTAAAGTGGGAGGTCTTGAATTTTCTTGTCGTGTCTTTTATCGGTCTAACAAATGATGCCGTTGAACTCTTCTGTAAAACAGAGCCGTCGGTGTATATGTGTATACAGCCTTGATACGTCTCGTATAACAAGAGCAGAGCAAGCTGTCTAAGAGCAGGTGACGACATATCTGCTTTTTTCTGGATGCAAGGTATAGTTAGCCTGATGTTAGCCTGACTCAGGCACCAGAGAGGAGTTGAAGGCCTGGCGGCGGGTGTGAAGCATGTTGGCATAGAATCGCGATATGTGGTGACCGTTTGGCGAAATGATGAACGTGGTCTGTCTGCTGGTAAAGAGGCTAGGTGGTGGCAGGATGTCCGAGCAATATGCCTTATATGTGTCCTGAGTGCCTCAACGTCGATATGTGTCGTGATGAGGTAGTCACCGGTGATAGCTATAGTTGCCATTGTCGACGCACTACAAGGAAAGCCAAGGCAAATCCGGAGTGCCTGGGACTGAACACTCTGTAGCGTTCGAAGGCTTGTTTTGCTTGCATTGGTCAATGCCGGTAAACTGTACCGCAGGAAACCAAGAAAAAGTACTCTGTACAGCTGTAGCATTGTACTGGGAGACATTCCACAAGTCGTCCCTGCAAAGAACTTCAGTATATTATAGATGTCCATTAACCGTTTCTTCATGTACGAAACGTGATCGCTCCATGATAGATTCCTGTCATTTATGACGCCCAAAAACTTGCGCCATCGAACGTATGGTACAGTTTGACCATTGATGCTTATAGTGTACTTATCCATAGGCTTTCGTGTAAAAGCTACGAGGGCGCATTTCTCGGAAGAAATTTCCAAGCCTCGATTTCGGAGGTAGCGTAATGTTTCAGTGGCAGCTTTTTAAATTCTCCCTCGTAACTACATGCGTGTTACAGCCGATGCCCAAACGCAAATATCATCAACGTACATTGATAGCCTGACCGTGCTTGGCAGATGCTCAGTGAGAGCAATTAACGTAAGATTGAACAGCACAGGGCTGAGTACGCCACCCTGGGGAACGCCACAGTGGCTGTAATGTGGAGAGGTTGGACCGTCTTCAGTGCTCACAAAGAAGGATCGCATTGACAAATAACTACGTATCCAGTGATACATCCGACCACCTACTCCTATATCTTCGAGAGCGGTGAGAACACCTTCATGCGTAACATTGTCATACGCCCCTTTGATGTCTAGGAACAAAGATGCGCAGAGCCGCTTACGGCCTTTCTCGTGTTGGATATAGGTGACCAGGTCGACTACGTTGTCAATCAATGCTTGACCACGCCGAAATCCTGCCATGGCATCTGGGTAGATGATGTTACCCTCCAAGAACCACTCCAGGCGTCCCAGGATCATCTTCTCCATAACTTTGCCTACACAACTGGCCAATGCGATCAGACGATAAGATGAGAGCTCCAACGGTGACTTGCCTGGCTTCAGAAGTAAAACTAGGCGACTTGTCTTCTAGCTTGTCGGGAGCGTTCCATCTTGCCAGGATTTGTTGTACAACTCCAAAAGGAGGATTTTCGCGCGTTCACCCAGATGACACAAGGCCCTATAAGAAATTCTATCGAACCCTGGTGCCGACGTGCGTCCACACAAAGCTAGTGCTGCTCTGAGCTCCACGATGGAAAAAGGCATATCCATGCGGGAATTCAGTGTTTGTGGACAGTTAGTCGAGGGCAACAGGCTATTAGGCACTGCGAATGGCCCAGATACTCTGGAACAGAAGTTTTCTGCCACGTCAATGCCGCGTCTCTGTTCAGAAAGTGCGAGAGCCCTGAATGGTGACCACTGAGTGGGTTCTGTGCGGAGACCTCGCACAGTCTTCCAATTTGGGATAAAGGTTTTCGTGGGTCAAGTGACTCACAAAAAGCAGTCCAACGTTGTGACTCGAGTTTATTTATCCGGCGCTGAATCTTCTTTTGTATCGTCGAGCAGTCCATAAGTCTTCTAATGCCCCAGTGCGTCAGTATCTTCGTTCAGCACGCCGTCGGATTGCTCGAAGTCATTCTAGCTCGATGTCAAATTCCGTTACTTTGGGAGAGCAGGTGAGGGTACACGTAGTATCGTGTATTGTGCTTTTAATTATCTCCTTTATGTCGAGGGATATGTTTGCTTCACATTGCTCTTCCATGCGAGACTGGAATTTCAACCAGTCCATTCTCTGAACACTATCGCGTATCTTAGCATGGCACAATCCTTCGATTTTGACGTAAGTGGGAATGTGGTCACTTCCATGCGTTTCTATATCTGGAAACCACTCAGCATGCCTGACGAGGCCTCGTGAGACAAAGGCCAGGTCAAGGCAGCTGCTATACCTTGAACCATGTAGGAACGTTGGACTGCCATCATTCAGCAAGAAAAGTTGGTTGTCGGAGGCAAAGGTCACCAACTTTCTCCCTTCAACATTGGTCTTCGAACTTCCCAGCTACAGGGTAAAAATTACATGAAGTAAAGGCCACACTTTCTTCCTGACTATGCAAAATTTGAGAATAAAAAGCAGAACAGTTTCTGAGATAAAAAGCTGAAACCAAGATGACCCATTTACCCTACCGCACGCTCACCGCTGACTCCGTTCAACTTTGAGGTTGTGAGATACAACAGGATTGGCGCACTAAATTTCCTTTAATGGTGACAAAGTATAACCTTACAAAAAAAATGCATACTATATTCCTGTATAAAACTAGGGTATCTTAACAGTAACGATGCAAACAGTGAAAAAAATCTTCCAAAGAGTAACAGTGAAAGAAACTGAACCTCTCCCCACATCCAGATGCCCATTGTTTCGGGCCGTACAGAGGGGCCAATGCCAAATCCTTTAGTCTTGCCCATAAGTTGGTTCATCAAAAAAGATTTTCCAGAATGAAACTTTCCAACAACACCAATGGTTGCCACAGGTCCTGTGATCTTGGAGATAGCCTGAAATCAAAAAAAAAAAAAGTTATAGACACATTTTTTTTTACTTCCAACAGACTGATAAAAAGGCATGATCCAGTCAGAATTTCATACTCCTCAGCAGTGTCTCAATGCTCGAAGGTTCTCGTTGTTAAAAGAAAACCTCCAGTGATGCAGAAACACTTCAAATTTGCGCAGAGAGAAGTCATCACAGGATCAGGCACATGAATAACAAGTGCAGCAGATTTCACAAATTTATCAGAGATACAAAACAATGCAATGGTCTATAATTTTGCATTTTTTAATAAAAATTCCAAGCTTCCTCTTAAGCTTACTCATGATAATGACGTATCCCATGAAATTACTACTTAAAAGGCCTCTTACGGGCATTGGACATAGCAAATTAAAATGCTCAATAGATAGTGATCATACCTGCAAAATGAGAATTGGCCACCTGCCATGAAAATAGCTGAACATTAAGACAGAAGGCCATGTGACCTTTTTCTCAGAGAAGAAGTGCTAGGAGAAATAGCGTAGTATATACATAACAAGTGATTTTTAGGGCAAACTGGGGAAATTTGACCAGTCTGGGAAAGACTGGAAATTTCGTAGGGGCAGGAGCCCTTTGCCACAACACATGGAATGTTCCGATGTACTAGGCAAGGAGCTTTTTGGAAAGCCCCACATGGTGCCAAGCCTGAGCATTGGCAGGGGTGGGTGCCTCCTACCTCCCTTTTTTTTTTTCTTTGATGCAACAGTAGTTTGCACCCTCCAAGACAAAATCCTTCTGACAGCTGTGGTGCCAAGGAGACCACAGAAGCCCAAGAGTGCAAGGGGAAAAAGTAGTTGTGGTGTTGAGCAAAGAAACAATGTTGCTAGTATTGTTGCAGAACCATCACAGACACAAGTATAGGCACGATGGCAGGTATCAGCATGTGCAATTAAATCATGCATCTACTCACTATAGCAGATGAGGCATAGCCATTGTGGGGGGAGGGTCATAGCTCTTCCCTCCTTCCCCAGCCCTGCCCCCCATGAAAGGAGGATTTTAGGAAAGGGTTTCAATTAACTTTTACACATGTTTGTGCATGCATTTATATGTGCACATGTATATAACACATGTGAAATTAAAGGTTCATGAGGGATGTTGTGCACCACCCTAGCAATGCTATTCATAGTATTGCTGGGGTGGTGTCCGACGAAGGCAGCATAATTCGCAGAGGTAATGCCAGATCTTGTGCATACAGCAGAAGGAACAGTGAAAATCCAGCAGTGTCATGATGACCAGAGTGGCATGAAAATGTTGCATAAGAAAGAACTAAATCACAGTCATGGTGATCATCCGAAACTTACATGGCTACCATGTACTATCGGCATCAAATGAAATCCGAACAGTGGCAAGCCTTCGCGAAAGTATAGTGCACGCTGTCAACTCATCACCATAGAGAGGCACGCATATATGTGCAGAGCTGCCAAAGAAGATGCACGCGCCTGTCCATGGTGATAATTGGACGGTGTGCACTATACCATCACGAAGGCTTGCTGCTGTTCGGGTTTCATTTCACAGTTAGTTACGTTGGGTTTTATGGCGCAAAAGCAGCAATGGCTATGATGCGCCAGACACTGGGTGATTATGATAATAGGGTTAAAATATGAGATGAAAAACAGATTTCTGTTTACAGTTTGTTTAACACGCCTGCGGCCTCTAGAAACCGGAGAACGTCCTCTATGGGGATGATTGCATTTTCTGATAGTATTAACATTGGGTGGAAAGGTGTTTGCGTTCTGTAAAAATTGTTTCAAATAAGCCTGTCTTCTTTTTTCAAAGACTGGGCATGTTATTAAAATATGATTGATAGTCAGAGGTTCCTTGCAATGTTCGCATTCTGGTTGATTTTCTCTGCGCAACAAGAAGTTGTGGGTGAGGTGAGTATGACCTATCCGCAGACGGCATAGTATTACTTCGATGAATCGCTTTTGGTGATTGCATGACTTCCATTCTTGTAGAATAGGCTTGACAATTTGCAGCTTGTTATGCACTTGAGCCTGCCACTCTTCTTGCCATTTTGCCCTAAAGGCTGTCCGACAACTGTTGAAACAGTCTCTGAATGGTGCCCTTATTTCTGCTATTTTTTGATGACCTGCTCTTGTTGCTACCCTGTCTGCCTTTTCGTTTCCTGGAATACCAACATGGCTCGGCACCCATACAAGCCGTATTGTCTTGCCATTTTTCTCAGCTCTTTCTAGCTTCTGTAGAATGTCCCCGAGAAACGGTTCGTTTTCCGACATTAAATGTAGGGCTTTTAATGCGCTAAGTGAGTCAGTGTATATGACAGCTTTTTGTGATTTCTTGATAAAATTTCTTCGAGAGCAATCAAAAGAGCATATACTTCTGCTGTGAAGATAGATACGAATGGTGGCAGTCTTATACATGTTTCTGAGTGTTTTGATATGACAGCACTTCCTGTATATTCTTGTGTTTTTGATCCATCAGTGTAATATTCAGAATGCGTGTGTTTTCTTGTACAGCTAGGAAATCCTGCATTATTTGTTCCTGTGGTGTTTCCTTCTTCTTTAAATGGGTCAAAGCAAGGTCAGTGTAGTGCGAAAAGTCCAACCATGGAGCCAGTCTTTCCGGCATTTGGACAACGCTTAGTGCCTGATTCGGTACTTTGTAGTCTAGACATATTTCTTCAAAGCGCAGGAGAAGTGGTCTTATCGTGTGCGGTCTGTTGCTGTATTGTATTCTGGTACCGATGTGAGAGACAATAGTGTTCCATATGTGGCTTGGTTTCGATCTAGTTCTTAAAACATAGGATACAGTAAGTAGCGCTCTTCTTTGTTCTAGGCACGGCTCGTTGCTCTCAGCATATAAGCTCTGGACAGGTGAGGTTCTATACGCTCCAGTCGCCAAGCGCAATCCATGATAATGTATTGGGTCAAGACGTTTGAGGTAAGATTTTCTGGCTGAACCGTAAATAACGCTGCCGTAGTCAAGTATGCTGCGCACAATTGAGCGGTGTATGCGTAAAAGGCAGACTCGATCGGCACCCCAGTGTTTCCACGATAGTATTTTCAGAATGTTGAGCGCTTTGTTTGCTTTCTTTTTTGTGTAATTCATGTGGGAAATGAAGTTTAGTTTCCTGTCAAAGACTAGGCCTAGGAACTGGTATTCTGACTTGAGTGGCAGTAAGTACAGTGTTGTTGATTTTAAGTACAGGGCCCGGGTACAAGCCGCGCTTTTGTGAGAAAAGTAGGGTAACGGTTTTCTGTGTAGAAAAGCGAAAGCCATTTTGATCTGCCCATTTGGTTAGTTTGTTGATGGTTAGCTGCAGCTGCCTTTCACATGTGGATATGCTTGAGGCCCGACATGCTATCTGAAGATCGTCAACATATAATGAGTGCATGATGGAGGGTGGGATTACTTCATTAACTGAATTCATTTTGACTACGAACAGTGTAGTTCTCAACACGCAACCCTGCGGCACACCATTTTTTTGGACAAAAACCCGCGATAGTGTGAAGCCCAACCGTACCTGGAAGTTTCGGTTTGATAGAAAGTCAGAGAGGCAATTAAGCATTCTTCCGCGTATTCCGAGATGTGCCAGGTCTCTCAGTATACCGTACCTCCACGTGGTGTCGTAGGCCTTCTCCAGGTCAAAAAACACTGCTAGGCAGTGTTGCCTATGCAAGAAGGCCTCCCGCACTGTGTGTTCGAGATGGACAAGATGATCGATCATTGAATGGCCTTTCTTATACCCACACTGATGATCATCTAGTAGGTTGTCTACTTCAAGGGTATATGTTAGTCTTCTGTTTATTACGCTTTCGTATGCTTTTTTTGCCATACAGCTTGTAAGTGCTATGGGTCTATAGCTACCCAGTGAAGTCGGTGGTTTTCCAGTCTTTAGAAATGGTACTATGATTGCCATTTTCCATTTTGCGGGCATTTTGCCAGTTTTCCAAATCATGTTACAGAACTTTAAAAATGTTTGCACCGCAGCTTGAGACAGGTACGCGAGCATTGCGTAATGAATTCTGTCTGGACCGACTGCTGTCTTTTTTCCCTCCGAAAGCACTGTGCTTAACTCTTGGAGTGTCAAGGGAGCGTTGTACGGCTCATCTAGGCCACAGGTTACGGGTAGTTTTTGTTTTTCGGTTGTCTGTTTGTATGCCAGGAAGGATGGCGTGTAATTAGCGGAACTGGATATAGTGTAAAAGTGTTCGCCTAAAATGTTCGCCTGCTCCTCTAGAGATGTCTCTATGCCTGGGTCTGTAAATATGGGTATCGCGTATAAGGAATAGTCGCCGCTGAATTTTCTAACCTCGTTCCACATTTTCTTGGGTGTGGTTGTGCTACTGATTGTAGATATGTACTTCTGCCAGGATGATTTTTCTGCATTTCTACGAATATATCGTGCGTTTGCTTTAGCTTGTTTGAATGCAAGGAGGTTGTTATGCTCAGTTACAACGCGTTATGCTGAGTATTGTCAGCTCTCGCACACATGTGCCACACAAGCACCTGCAAAACAAACGTGCCGCTAGCTGCAGCAGCCACGATGTTTTGCACCATGCTTTATTCTGTAGTTTTTGGCTTTTGCACACTCACTCGTCCACCATGGCTTTAGCTTTCTTCCCACTAGTCCTGAAGACTGGGGAATAGCTTGCTCTGCCGCAGACAGTATGCAATCGGTGAACTTGTCATTTATTTCCTCTATTGTTAGGTGTTCAGAAAACTCAGCCTGTAGATTAGCTCTCTGTGTAAACAAAGGTTAGTTAGCTTTGTGAAGCTTCCAACGCTGTGGTCGAGAGCGTATGGTCGGAAGTGGCGACGTCAGTTTTACCAGAGTCCTTCAATGCTTTTCTGGTCACGAAACTCCGCCCGAAGGTTGATATAGGGACAAAATCTGTCGCTAAAGGCGCCACCCGTCGTATGGGGGCCACAAGCCGCCGCCACTGCTGGGCTTGTATGCGCACTGCGGCCGACGTTTCGACACGATTATGCGCGTGCTGTTCTTCCTGTT